TTCGTGAGCGACCAGCGTGGGGTCCGTCTGCTAACGGGAAATCGACGAGCGGGTTCGATAATTCGTCTGGCTGCGCCCACGCATACATGGGATGAGGCGGTACGTCGTAGCACAGCGTTTCGGCTCACGACGCTTTGCATACGTCAAGCTTCGGAGAAGTCGAGAGTTATCGCCGCGATGGGGGGAATTGTCTTACCGCAGGCTGACACGAGCAGCCAAGACGAGAAATCGCCGGGTTCTCGAGCTGCCGCGGGAGGATATCTCGCGGGTAGGGCGGCAAATCGGAGCCGTACCACGAGGGCTTCTATTGGAAGGGGAAGCTGGAGTCCCACAAAGCGAGGCGCCACCAATGGTATACTGGAGGTGGTGCTAAGCTCGAGCGACTCCGAGGATGAGGCGATACCGGTGCAGGAGCTGCCTCGAGTGGCTCCACAGCCACACATCCATCCTAACCTCCCTTTCAAACCGTTCACGTTACAGAGGCTAGACCCCGCGTACCAATTCGTTCGTAGGGGTGGGCCCGCGCAATTCTACCCAGCGGGGTATATGGAGGACGAGAGAAGGAAGGAGGCTGAGGCTCGCCAGAACGCGGGTAGGAGGAAGCGCACAATGCGTTTCAACCTATCCGCGTGTAATTTTGAGAGGCCATCCTCCAGTTCGACACCAACTCTACCCAAGATGACGGAGGGAGCCGTTGTTGAGGCAACAGGCGCCCTCCAGCCATCGGTTTCGCTGGCTGTCGACAAAGGGAGAGTCTCGGGAGTTAGTGCGAGCACAGTTGCCGAAAAGACAGGAGAGGCAGGCACAAGGATGGAAGCGGTGGTGCCGCCGACCCCGCGAAGAGTGGAGCCGGTTGTGTCGGAGCGACCAACCCTTGGGCCGTTACGACCTATCCCGACTCCTCAAGCAACGAGCTCAGCCTCGTCCTCTGCGTCGCCGTGTTAGGTCGACGAAACCGGGTTTCGGTTGTTAAGAGGTAGCTTCCTCCAAACCTGGCTCCGGTATCTTAGGATGAGGAATTGGACGTGCACTCGTTCCGCTGTTTTAATTGCAGAACGGGGTCACATCCCAGGTCAACCTGCAGGAACTTGCCTCTCTCGCGTCCGGTCTGTAGAAACTGTGGGCGACTCGATGTCCGCGTGCAAGACTGTCCGCGTTGCCGCGACGCCTTCATGGCAGACCAAGCGCGCGCTCGATCGGTGGAGGAGGTAAGGGTTCGGGCTCGCCCGGGCGAACCAGTAGAGCTCCCGGCGACGCAGGCAAAGACTGTAGAGCCGGAGCTCGAAGTTTCTAGGTCGATGCCCGAGGTAGCCAGCCCTGAATCCTCCGTCGGGGAGCCCAAGGCGAAAAAGCCCAGGCACCGATGTGGCAAGCGTTTTCGCGCTAAGCTCGCGTGTAGGTCACAGGCGCTTGCGGTAGAGGGAGCCGGGACTGAAGTCGGTTCGGCTGAAAATACGGGGATGGAAGTCGCGCCGCGGACGGAGCAGGCGTCGGTCCCCGCGGGTGAGCCGAGCGATCGGAGCGCCGAGGTGATTGGGTCCAAGGCGACTGAGGATGCCGGCCAAAGACTTCCGAGGCAAGTGCCTCGTTTCCTTCGGCGGAGGAGCTTCGAACGCTCAGGCTCCGGTATTTGGAGTCGTTGAAGCGGCAGTAAATGGTAAGATTCTTGGTTTAATTGAATACTGAGTTAGTCGCGATCTTTGCGCAGCGGATTAGTCGGTTTGCTATGACGAAAGGTTAGGCATATCACTCGGATTAGACTATTGGGTTTGTTAGATTTGCTCTTAGTTGATCTGGTTGTTACCAACTTAGAATTAATTATGATTTAAGCTAAGTCTAACATATTATTATATAATTTAGCGTCTATCGTTGGTCGCCATTGCCGGTCGACAGGGAGAGAGAGAGGGAGAAACGGAGTCAGGCCGTTCGCGGGTGCGAACTTTGGCCTTGAAAGGGGGTGTGACGAGAGCAGGCCGTGTGCCGGTCTCTCGTCTGCGTTCTCCCTCCTCCACTCGGCAAGGCGTGTTGGCCAATGTTAGGCGCATTAAAGTATGCGCCTAACACTTGGTCTTTTTGTTTCAGCGCCAAGGACGGGCCAGCGCAGCTGAGCGCAAGAAAAGTTGAGGAGCGCGGAGAGAGAGTGAGAAAAAGAGAGAGAGAAAGAGAGTATTAGGCCCATGCAGGGATTGGCAGGCGCGCAACGCGTGACCGATAAGCGGCGCGTCACGTGCCGTCTAACTAATAGGTCAAGGTAGGGAGAGGAGCGAGCGCCGCTGAGCGGCTGCAAGACGAGCGCAAGAATTAGTGCGTGTGGGAGTCGCAGCCTAGTCCTACTAGAGTGCAGTAGTCCTGCTAGAGAGTGCAGTTTGGGATAGCTGGAAGGAAGGTCAACCCTACCGGCAACAGCTTTGTCTGCGACCGCAGCCAGCCCCACCTGCAAGGACAGTCAACGTCGCTTGTGGATACCTGGTCAGAGATAGCAGCCAGCAGCTAGCAACGATCTGACCAGCGACGACGACCGGTACTTCCTGCGGCAGCACATCGCCCAGGATCCACGACGTTGCTAGGAGCGGTGAACAAAGGTCAAGCCTTCTTTTCTTCTTTCTCTCTACACTCTCTCTCTCTCTCTCTCTGGTGATGCGACGACCGGTGCGCGTTGAATAGGATAGCCAGGCATCCACGTGCCGGCTATCTAAAGGTTCGCGTTTAAGTTTAATTTGTAGTAACGTAAGTTGCGACCGGCGAATTGTCCAGGCGCCCACGTGCCGGGCGGTTCATCCGGTATAGGTTCGCGTAATTTAAGTAAGTTTGTAATAGGTTAGGTGCGCGATTGGATATTAAGACAAAATGCGAAATATTCATTTGTGAATACTATGAGTAATTTACTATTCTATTATGTAGTTGGTTAGTTAGTAATTAGACTATGTTATGCGCGCGTATGTTTAGTTTGAACAATGATTAATAATAATAGGTTGTAAGTGAGATTTGATTTCTGTCTTTATATAATTCATTTATCAACCTCTCCTAGTTCTTCTCCCTCTATTGCCTTGAGCGAAAGTGCCTCACTTACCCCGCAAAGAATTTGTAACAAAGGATAGAGTTTTGTTACAAGCTATGAAATTTCTAATAAAATATTCTTCTATGTTAAATTTTATTGGATCTAGAAAAGCGAACATAAGAGGAAATATTTTCAAACAGGATAAAGATAACATTTTTCCTCCTTATCTTGCCTTGGCTAAGAGTTGCCAGGTGTAGACGCAATCAGCCGTAGGAGCAAAAGAGAAATCGTGAATAGAATACGTATAGTTTGACCGGCGATTTTCGGTTTTAAAATCCGGAAAACGTTTATAAATTGTGGTACTGAATCGTGAAATTTAAAGGCTAAGAAAGAATTCTTATTCAAGCAAATACTTTACAAAACAAAAAATTTTAAAGAGGAAAAAAAAGTATTATATAAATCGGCTTCCCTGGTTCGATTCTCAGTCCCTGCTGATGGATACAAAAACCACTGAAAAAAGTTCCATGTGCTTTGTTCTCAAACACATTGCAAGTCTCCGTCACTGATTAGTACTGATGGAGCATAAATAGAGCGACGTTAAACAAAATTTTTAAAAAATCGGTTTGACGTTATACATATTAGAGATACATAATTATGAAAGTTGTAATGATGAATATGTAATGCAGATATTTGTAATTAGCGAATATTTTTACACAAAATGAGCATGAAATAAATAATACGTGTGAATCTGCTCCCGAAAAAAGTAGGCTAGCGTAATATATAGTTGAATAATAGTAATTGCAACGGTAATCGATTCGATCAATCGATCCGTTCGCGATTCGGTAGCACTCGCGATGCTAGAGCGAACGACTAAGAGAGAGAGAGAAAGAGAGGGGGCGCGCGTTTCAAAAGAGTTCAAAGTTTTCAGTTACGCCTCAGCTGTTATTCACGAAAGTACCGCCAATTAGTTTTGCACTGTGTTTCACCGTTTTTTCCAATAAAAATTGTCCTGGGTTCTTGGAATCCGTGTGCAAGTGATAAAAAGGAAGCTGATCAAAAGCAGCAGCATCACAACAGCAGCAACTAAAGCAGCAGCAACTAAAGCAGCAGATATTTCGAGTGAGGCAGCGCAGCTGTTTCCGCAGGAGCCCCTTTAATTTCGCTGAAAAAAACAATTATAACTATCACCGTAATTGCACCGCAGGGCAGATGCACCTCCCTTTTTCTGCGCGACAAAATATTCACAAGAATATTTTCTCTATCACGACTATTTTTGTATTCGCGCCGAGCGTTAGATTTCGCGGCAGAGTTTTGAATTCTCTCTCTCCTCGTATTATTGTAAATCCTATTCGTGTACGTTAGTCTTTCAGCCCATCAAAGACTATTCTTCTAGTCATAAACGATATTAATTTTAATCGCCGCATTACGTCATTTCGTTTTTTATTAGTTTAACGGATCTATCATCGGTTAATTATTAAACTGATTTCATTTAGGGGATTAGTTGGAATAAACATTAGGTCACTCACACCTAAGATCGAGTGTCACAAGTTAGGTGACTTAAGGTAAGTTCAACTCTATTGAAAAGAAGACACTGAAACGAAAGTATCAAACGTAAAGGCGAATACACGTATACTCATACGTGTTTAACGGAGCTGCGTTTAGCTCTGCATTGTGGGAGTTTGTTCATAAATAAACCCTGTTTGTACTATAGCTAATCCACTCCGTTACATAATATTGAAATAATAATAATAAATATCTGGATTTTCCTCAAAAATGACCGTTTTTTCTTCCTGTTGATTGGATTATATATATTCTTCTATAAATTTCATACAAATCCTGTATAAAATTTGTGTATTTGTTTACAGTGAGATTTTGCATCTCTATAACCCTTTAATGATGCTTGGGAATAATCTTTGATTCCACTCTTTTATTGCTTAACGTATCTTTTTCTACTTTATCCAATCAATCATAACCGTAATTGTTTTATATGATTAATTTACAGGTGGTTTACTTTACATCGATGTTCCCTTATCTAGTACTAACAATTTTTTTCATTCGAGGGATCACACTCAAAGGTGCCGATGCTGGTCTTGTGCACATGTACACTCCTAAGGTTCGTACTTTGCAATTTTTAATTTAGTCATTTATCAGTTGAAAATTAATAGAGTTGCTTACTATAGATCGAATCCGATAGTCTTTAAGGAACGGCAATGATACGCTATAAATTTTGCAGCTTTTTATTTTTAATTGAGGGAATGATTTAGCGATTGACAAAAAGACATATTTACCAAAATTGTTTTTAATAATTATCATTTTTATAAATATTTTAAAATGGATTGTTGTTATAGAACATGTTACAAATGAATTAACTTGATTTTATTTAGTACTGCTTGCGTAAAAATCAGAATGTTTCTTTCAAGTTTTAGTAAGTTCTTGTTCAGATAAAGTTGGCATAACTTCTCTAATGAGAATCATCAAAATTCAGGAGTATCAAAAAATTTGAAAGGCAACACTTGTGAGTTCTTACACTTATGTTAAAAATATGTTATAAAACTTATGATAAATTATATACTACAACAAAGGTGCCGAAAACATTTAAAATATCTATATAGTAAGTTTCGCCAAGTTTTAGTAACTTTTATTTATCGTTAACAATGGAATAAAGTTCAGATAAAAATCTTGCTTTGACAAAAGCTCCTATCGAGTAAGTTTTATTAAAAAGGCGTCTCTACTTATGCTTGTAACGGTTGTGATTTATCTGAATAATGAATCGGTACTCGTTAACAAAATAAGTCACCGTCACTCCCACGTTGCGAAGCTAACCGCCGCTTCGTTGAAGGAAGACTTACCTCCCGGCTGTGGTGTCGACTGCTTCGTCGAATGCGTGCTCGACGCACTGCTTGCGCGGGGGAGCCAGTGAGTTCGGATGGCTAGGCAGAGGAGACACGTGTTCTTCTGCCCACGTCAGTGAACAAGGCGGTCGATTAATTGCAGACACCCTTTATTCATTCAGCAGTTTGTTTACATCCTGTAGAGAAAGAGGCCGAGAGCTTTACTGGGTGACGCGCCGCTGCGTCGCGCAATGACAATACGCGAGGTCTTACCGCAAGAGAGAAAGAGAGAGATAAACGGACCGATTCTCGCATGCTTAACAAAATGCAACGTTTTCGCAGATAATTGTACGCCGGTGAGATTACTCACTCCTTCTCGATGTAGTCCTGCGCAAAACCTAGCTATCAACTCTTCGGTTGCCGGGCTCGTGCGCTGGCTTTCGTCGCCCAGGAGGTGCTTCCTTCTCTCCCTTTGAATTTCTTCAACACTCGTTGAACCTTTTGTGATTTGGGCGACGGCACTCACTCTTGACGCACTTAACTCGATGCACCTGTTGGATCCAGCTTCCAATTCTCGTATCTTTGCACTCCTTAGCTCTCCTCCTAGGACTCTCTTTTCTTTTAATTCTCAGTTTTCTTTCTTTCTTTATTCTAATCCTCTCGGCAAGCCGGTTCACACGTGAATGTCTCTCGCACCTCCTCCCACCCCTCACGGTTCTCTCTCTCTGTTCTCTCCGCTCGCGCACGGTTTTCTGCGCAGCTGGCCCGCGCACGACACGCGCTGGCCCTCTATTAAGCTGATTTTTCCCTTAACGAGCCGGCTCGTTACATTCTTCATTATTCCTCATTTATCTATTCTCATACAAAATCTCAAGACTATACTATCTGATCTTAAGATTTTATCTTGAATTTCTAATATTGATAAGAATGTGGATACTGCTGAGTAAATTTGAAGCTCACGGTAACGTAATCCGTGAATATTAAGTATTCCATTGAAATTTCCAAAAGGGTAGTAGATTATAATATAAAGCGTATCAAATTATCTTACTTTATGTACTAAATGCCTAAGTAAATGTAAAGTATAAGTTTAATATTGAACTGACCCATACAAATATTTAAAAGGCGACGCATACTGATTCTATGCGTTTTGTGACTGTATTATCATTGATTCATAAATACTTGTCATTTTTAAGAGAGTAATACCATGAAAGTGTAACGTATGGTATCTAAAACATGTCGTGTTCATAATATTTTGCAGTACCGGACACCTTTCAGTACGAGCATTCACTTATTTTACGCACAATTTTTGGAATGAAAACTGGCAGTCTAAAAGATTTTATTTTATTATTTATTATATTAATATATGAAAAATGTGACAGTCTAGTTTGAATTTTTTTTTACTGCACAATGGCAACTCACCATACTCTCGTAAAAGGGAAAAACACTGTGCGAGGTTTGTCCGAAAAATATCGGGCCTATCTTTATATTTTCGTGCTAGCGTTATTCTGTATCATTTGGTGTGTAGCATCCTTCAAAGTAATCTCCACTTGATTGAATAACACAGTTTCATCGATGTTTCCACTTTTCAAAACAGTCCTGGAACTTACTTTTAGGGATAGCCTTAAGTACACTCGTCGCATTGTTTTCAACTGTTGTTTTGTCATCGAATCGGTGTCCTTTGAGTGGTTTTTTTAGTTTTGGAAACAGCCAAAAGTCACAAGAAGCTATCTCGGGACTGTATGGAGGTTGTCGAAGCAATGCGATATTGTGTTTGCTCGAAAACTGCTGCACAAGATTGGATTAAAGCGCTGGCGCATTATCGTGATGAAGAAGCCAGTCACCACTTGCCCAAAAGTGCAGACGTTTTCTTCTTACTGCATCACGCAAACGTTTTAAAATTTGAACGTAGTATTCTTTATTGATTATCTGACCTGTTTGTGCATGTTCGTGATGCACAACACCTTCACAATCGAAAAAAATAATCAACATTAACTTAACTTTGCTCCGAGTTTGACATGCTTTTTTTGGTCTTGGCGATTCAGAATGCTTCCACTGTGAAGATTGTTGTTTTGTTTCAGGATCATAACCATAAACCTATGATTCATCACCTATAATAACTTTTCTAAGCATATTATCATCATTATTGACCATTTCCAGATTGTCCAGAGCGATTTCTAAGCGAATGTTCTTCTGCTCTGCTGTGAGTAATTTTGGGATGAATTTCGCCCACACGCGTTTCATTTCTAAATTTTTGGTTAAAATTCCTGAAATGATAGTTTTTGGTATCCCAAGGTCTTCTTCTAGTTCTCGCACAGTCATACGACCATCTTGTTCGACTGCAAGTCACACCCGCTCAATATTATCTACGGTTTTTGTCGTCGAAGGTCGGTTGGAACGAGAATCACTATTGATAGAAGTGTGACCATCCTTCAACCACTTATACCACTCTTTTATTCGTGTTTTACTCATATACTCGCTTCCGAAGGCCTTTGGCATTATTTCAATAGTTTCCGAACTCGTTTTTCCGATCTTGTTTTTCAGTCATTTTTGACAATATCAAAATCCAACGAACGTGAAAAAGGCAGTGTAAACAAAGATACGCTGCGCATGAACTATACGTCCGGCAGGTGTCAGTAAGTAACCAATAGATTCGTGAGGCTTTACTGTTGATGTTTCTGTCTGGCAGAGGTCGCTCGAACACTATGGCGCGAAGATATAAACGTAGGCCCGATACTTTCCGGACAGACTTCGTATAGACTCATAAAGTGGTACTTCACCTATTGCTTAGGGCAACTGATAAAATTTATTACTTGATATGGAGCATGACGTCACATTTAGATGAAAACTATCGTTTACTAATGTAAGTGAAATTGAAGGCCGCCGTGCGGGTTGACGATAAGTATACCGAAGGCGCAACAGTCTTGTTAAATAAAATGAATTTTTTTTGGTATTCTGTTGATTCTCCTTTTTTTATTTTTAAAAAACTGTTCACTTGTTATGGAACTATCTTTAGGATTGGGAGTGCTAATGAGGCGAGAATCTAGTCACTCGCGATACGGAGAAATAAATATTCTTTATTTATTGACACAATCTAGTAAACTTCCAATGGATAAAAATGAGTGTGCGACTGCTGCGGTTATTTCCTTCGAGAGTTCGTGAGAGAATGTTGAAGCGCAAGAGCATGACTCGAGCGCCTACATCTATTGGCCTGGATTGTGCTGCTCTCTTGTATTGAAGTGCGGGAACGGTTGAAACTCTATATATTTATCTATCTATAATTTTTCTTTGGATATTATAAATCATATTTTTATTATTTTTTTATAGTATCTTAATAGTAAATCATGCTGAATGTACCAAACTTTATTTCTTCAGTTTTTTCCATCCGTTTTGATTACTATCGAATTGATCGATTAATATGGATGAAAAGTCGATCTGATCTGAATATATATGGTGTTCCATGTTGAATGATACACATGAATATCTCGAAAGGTTGACGTCGTACGAAAAAGTTGTACAGATGAATGTTGTTCAGAACAGTGGGGGGGCATCTACGTATCATGTCAGTGTTGACCTTGAACTTTAATTTAAGTTATTTCAAGGTCAAAGTAATTTTATTGAACGGAAACCCCTATATAACGTCGGTTGACGAAACAATTCTCAGGCGCACTTTTTTGGTCTATCCTTACGGAAAATAACCGGGATCTCGAAGCTTTACTATACCACATGCTTGGCAATATAGCAATTCTTCGCGTTATTTTACCACACTCTTGGCAATAAAATAACGTAAAGGGGGGCCTATCTAATATGCACTCGACCACACGCTTGGCAATCGAGTGTAACTATCTAAAAAGACAGACCGTCCGCGAAACTAAAATAGGAAAGAATAAGGAGAGAAAAGGATGTAAAAAGAAGTTAGAGTAAAAAAAATTTATTTAGATTTTCTTTACTTACTTTTGCCTTAATTTCCCACACACACACTGGAAGGAATAACTATAACTTTCGAACGAACTTTGAAAAAACAGCACACTAATTTGGAATGGTTACACGAACTGAATTTAGAAAATAACTGCCTAATTTTCCTGAAAAGCTCCCTTTTATATTTTTCGCAAGAAACTCCCACTCGAAAATCTTTGTCATTTTTGGGCAGGAAGAACTCAAAGTTTCTTAACTTAATTGGTTGGAAAATTTGGGGAGTGTCTCGAGCGTAAGCGAAATTCGAACCCTAATTGGCCGAGGGCGGAGTGTGCGGGAGTGGCCTCATTTTAGTGCTTTGGGCCTTCTT